AAAAAAAAAAAGAAAGAAAGAAAGATAGTAGAAGCCACTGTCATCCTCCAGACCAAAACAAAAAAACCACAAATGTGGAGACTGAACCCTTCCTGTCACCTACCCCAAGGAACCAGCAGCCTCTCTTGCACCATTTCGGTGTGCATGTCATGAATTTCCTTGTTGCCTCTAACAGGCTTCCCTGTCCTCATCCGTGTGACCAGTAGGACCATGGGACAAGTGTTATCTCCGTCTTCAAAGTTCTCCCGCAAAACCACCTGCAACTCTTGGAATTCATTTTAACTTCCCTTTAGAGTTCTCTTAAGAATCACTTTAAAGTAGAAATGATGGCAGTACCCTAGCCACACATCTTAATAGTGCTGAATAATTTCTAAATCGCTGCTGTAATAATCATCACATTCATCTTCATCTTCATCACATTCATCTCCACCATGAAGATGGACACAGAGGGACAGGACTGAGAAAACAAAACACAAATACTTAAGAATAAAAATTATCACCACAATAGAGAAGTAAAGAAAGAGGGGATAAGATTCTCTATTTTTTGAGCCCCTGACTATGTGACTGGATGCTTTATATATTTTTAACCTAACTAAATAGAATTTTAACAAAAACTCTATGCAGTAGTTCTCATTTTGTCCTCTTTGTAGAAGACAGCCTGGAGCCCAGAGTGACATGCCCAAAATCAACAGCTAGGAAGTAGGAGAGCTGCATCCAACACCACCCTCAGCAGGAGGGCAGTGGTTTTTCCATGCTATGCCAGAGCTTGATGATGCATAGCAAGAGCGGTCTCTGATTCTCACATTTTTTTCCTCAGTGTAATGTTCCTGCAATTTAGTGGATGATTTGGTTTTAAAACATTGTCTTTCATGTTTTTCTAAAACCTCAAAATGGTCCTAAGCAGCTGCCTTCCTGAATACACCTGTAAGCAGGAAACTCATCCTAAGTCAAGAGCTGGCATTGAGAACTGTGATTAATGATTGTGTGGTGTGAGGAAGGGCACATGGCTCAGCTCTTTGGTTGGTGACTGTCCAGCAGCTGATGTTTGAATGCATTTACTATTAATTTATAAAAACATAGGTCTAAATGGTTCAAGGTTTTATGTTTTAAATTCACTGGCAACATCCAAGCCATGGAAAATGCTGACTGTTTTTCCCTGTTGTGTATAGGCTCAAAGACTGTTCCTGCAAAGTGGAATTCTCCTCTGAGGACTGGTGAAAAGTACCCACTAATTATCTTTTCTCATGGCCTTGGAGCATTCAGGTAATATTTGGAAGGACAAGTGGTTTTAGCCTCTAGCAGTCACTGAATACATTTTTCTCTAAAGAGAAGAATAGCAGGTATTAGAATTTCATGCTGCCTTTGTCCTGGGAAACCTAAGTTCTGGAAGTCCTGGCTTTAGTCTACTGCTCAGTTCCAGTTTGTGGGAATAAACTCCAGGCCAATGAGAGAAGAGGTTACATTTTTGCTGGTTGTCCTGCTGCATTATAATTATTTACTCTTGAAATCATTCTCTGTGCTAGTTTGGGTCTTCCAAGAAACAGACACCATGACTGGATGAGCTGTGAAGATATTTATTGAGAGAAATAAAGGCTAGGGAAGAAGGTGCAGGCAGGAATGGGCGGAGCTCTCAGATAGGGTGCAGGGATGGTGCAGGGCTGGACACCTGGACAGGAGATGGGGAAGGGAGAAGGATTCAGTAACAAAAGTCTTTGATTATAGCTCAGTCCTGAGAAAGACTGGCCAGGCCAACAGAAAGAGTGCTTGGTCCAAACTTGGTATTCAAAAGACTCGCCATCTTATAGGAGTGAGGCAGTGTTGGTACCCACGCTGGACCATGTCAATGGGAGCTTGTCACAGAGTAGCTTCATCTGATGGTGGGGATGGACACAGAGGGACAGGAGCTGAGCTTGGGTCACCTTTGCCCTCCGCAGCGTGATACCCAACAGGCAAATTTCTATGACAAGCCACACCCTGTCACAGATCTCAGGTGGGGATCTTAAGGTCTTTAGCTAGGATGAAGGTGGGTAGTAGCTGCAGTAAAGCGTTATACTCAGCTCCTTAATTGTAGTCTGGTCAGCTACTGGATTTCTTTCAGACTAGCAATTGGCAAACTGTATCACAGAGCCACAGGTGCCTGGCACCTATTTCAATAAATGCTTTATTGGATCACATCACACACTTGATTTCATTGTCAGTGGTTACCTTTGTGCTACAACAGCAGAGCTGGGTAGCTGGGACAGAGGATGCTCAGCCCACAATGCTAGAAGCACTGACTCTCTGACCTTTGAGAAAAGAGCTTGCCAATGCCTCAGCTGACCGCTTCCCTCTGCACGGTCCTGTGTCTCCAGCAATAGAAGAATCTCTCTTAGAAGTCTCCTTCTATTCTCTGCAGACACTGCCTACTGCAAGCAAGATGTGAGAACGAGGCTGTGCAAAGGGAAGGCATGGAGGAGAGATAGGGGTGCCTGATTCTGAACCACTTCATGCAGGCTGATTGATCAGTTCTACAACAGCCAGCATGTCCTAAGTATTTACTGTTTCAGTCAGGGCGTGTGGTAGCATCACTGTAACATTCCCTGAGATAAATAATTTAAAGAAGGAAAGATTTATTTTGGGTCATGGTTTCAGAGGTTTCAGTCCATGGTTGGCTGCTCCATTGCTTTTAGGCATGGGGTGAGGCAGAAACATCAAGGCAGAAGGGTGTGGCAGAGGAAGATGCTCACTTCATGGCAACCAGGAAGAGATGGGGAGGTGGAAGCCACAGAGGACGGGATGGGGTCAAGATTCAGCCCCCAAGCTCCCACCCCATGACTATTTCTTTCAACCAGGCCCTGCATGCCAGTTACCATCACCTCCAATAATGCCATCAAATTATGACTCTATCCATGGAGGAACCCACTGATGAGTTAGAGCCCTCCCGACCCTATGAGCTTACAAAACCCATCTCTAACACTGCTGTACTGGGAACCACACAAGCCTCATGGGGAAGAGTTTAGATCCAAACCCTAACCTTCTGCCCCTAGGGAGGAATGGTGGCATAGAAAGGAGAGATTATTTTAAAATCTTTCTACTCTACATTTTGCTCAGGATTCTCACTGGAAATCTAGCTTAAACCCACACCACCACCTGAATGCTGTGCTGCAGTGCAATGTCTTCCACCAGATAAACTAGTCCATCACCTTTATATTCAAAATCTCAGGGAATGGACAAAATGTAGACAGGTTCTTTGCCAAAATGTGACTCAAATGGCCTGTGGTCCAACTCCCAATAGTTTTCATTTCCCTCCAAGTCCTCCAAAATTGTGAATCACAGTGATCTTTCCTCCTTTTAGTTGTTATTCCCCAGTATTTTGTCACACAAAGGAAAGCTGACTAGCAGGCTACAAGCACTGAGGATGCATCCACTCCTGTGATCCTCACCAATGGGGTGTTGTACTCCATAGCATCACCTTTGCACAGAGAAGGAGAACAGCAGAACACACATAAGTGCCTGCCTGAACCACACAGCTAATAAGTGGAGGGACCAGGATTCAAATTCAGTGGTCAGCCTAGAGTCCCAGTCTCTGCCTCCCTACCTTCCTACAAACACTATCTTGTTAAACCCTTATTGCCTTTTTATAGGTGAGAACAAAAGTTCAGTAGTTACTTGAAATCATGGCTGGGAGTTTGCAGTGAGGATTTTGAACTCCAAAACTCTCAAAGGCAATACTTATAATCACTCTGCCAGGCTTTTGCAGCTTCAGAATTATGGGTGCCTTATCTATCTCACAGAGTAGCCACTAAGCCAGAGAATAGTACTAGCAGATAAGGCAAAGATAGGCTGATTGAGGCTGATATTTTTGATCTCTAGTTTTCAAGGCTGGTTATTTTCCAATTAGGTCTTATTTTCAGGGAAATACCATATGTGTAGCCAGCTCTCTTCCTGTCTTAGAGGGCTGTCCCATGTATTGTGAGGGGTTAGCAGTACCCTCTACTCACTAGAGGTCTATGGCATTATCCCCCAGATGTGTTCATGAAATCTCCTCCAAACATCATCAAATGTCCCCAAGGTGTAAAGTCAGGCCCTTTTGAGACCCAGAGCTCTCTTTTATCCCAGGGCATTGGCACAGGAGCCTAATGCCTGCCATGTTCACAATTTTCTTAGCAGACCCAGACTTGTAATCGTACCTGGTAATTTTGACGCTTCCCTCTTTTTGTTTTGAAGGACAATTTATTCTGCTATTGGCATTGAACTGGCATCTCATGGGTTCATAGTTGCTGCTGTAGAGCACAGGTACGTTACCTAACGGAGCCGGATTCCTTAGTCAAATACAAGGAATGTGGATGCCCATAACTATGCTTCTAGCTGGTGTACAAGTTTATAAAATCCGTTGATGGAATTTCCAGCTGCGGTGAGAACAAAAGGAGACTGGATCAGTGTGAAGACTTAAGAAAAACAAAATTTCAAGAGTGCTTATTGTATGCTGTGGACCCAGCTGGGTTATACCATTCCATTTATTTAGCCTTGACTACATTGCCAAAAGATTTCTGTTATTACTCTTGTTTAAGGGAGAGGAAAATGAAGGCAAGAAAGGGTATCTTTCCCAGAGTCAGAGGGCTGGTAAACAGCACATGCGATGTGATTTCAGAAACGAGCTTTCAGTGTGGTTAACAGTGCCTCCCAGAATCATGAAGACTGGATGAGTTTTTACCCGCAACAGACAATAAACTATTTTCCTAGAGCTCCTCTGGGGTCCTCTTTAATTTAAAATGAGATTCAGAGTGGGAGAGGAAAGAGAAGTGGAAAGATCAGGGGAAGCTGAGTCAAGCGTGGAGTAGAGGAACAGGGGTCACATGAGGACGGAAGGGTGTGTGTGAGCAACAGTATCTGTTTCTGTTACAGAGATGAATCTGCCGCTGCTACTTACTACTTTCAGGACGAGACTGCAGCAGAATCAGGGAACAAGTCTTGGCTCTACTTCAAATCCGCACACGTATATTCAGAGATGCTGCGAAAAGAGCAGGTACGAGGTTGACTACAGCTCAAGGCAGGGTGGCCTGTTGGCCTGGGTGTGGGGCCAAAGGGTGACCTCTGTGGATCTACAGTGACAGGGCAGAAAGTGGTGCTCCCGGGCCTCCTACTCCCATTCCCGAAAGGTCTGGCAGAAGAGCATGCGAGGAATACAACCCCTTCAGGAAATGGTGGCTCATAGTAAAAGCAAAGGCAAACACAAGAGTCCTGGGATGTAAAAGCAAATATTCAGAGTATTAAAATGTATAATTTGAGAATCTCAGGATGATAGAGCATAGATTCCTCCAACCCAGAGGCACTATAAGGAAGACTTCTTTTCAGATAAGCAGCATACAGTGGTACCAAGGGTGTGGGCCTTGGAATCCAACTGTCTGTCTGTCTGACACAGCGAGGCTCCATCCCTTGGCAACGCAGTGACCTTGCAGAAGGTTCCTCCTTGTGCTTCCGTGTGTTTTACCCATTAGAAAACAGTGAGTGGTCACAGCATCGGCCAGGCAGGGCTGTGGGGTAATCATGGGAAAAAGAGCACACTGGCTGCTTCTCTACCGTGGCGCTTTGCAAGCGGTGTGGCATTTAAGCTCATCCACATGTCACTGTGGTAGGTGTTAGTGGAAAATAAATGGAAGCCCAGAGAGGCTGTGTAAGTCCTCTAAAGTCACACGGGGGAAAGAAACTGAGTCAGGATTTGGACTGAGCTGCACTTCCCTGCAAAGTGGCTTCTGATCACTTTTCACGAAGACATTTCTAGTATTTAACAAACCGACTGTTTTTCCCACACGCACCCTCTGAACTTTAGAATAAGTGTCATCATCCTGGACTGTGTCATTTCTTTCTTGCTATAATCCTATAGGTACAGCAGCGAGCAGAGGAGTGTTCCCAAGCTCTCACTTTGCTCCTCAACCTTGATGAGGGAAAGCCAGTGGAGAACGTGTTGGATTTGCAGTTTGACCTCCAGCAACTGAAGGTGCGCTTTAAAAAGCCATTTTTCCTTTGACCCGCGCTTCATTATTACTCTTTGTTGTCTGACTCTCTGCAAGGTAAAGCATGATAAAGGGCTGCAACACACCCGCGCACACGCACACACCCATACAGGTTAAGTTGACAGCAATGAAGAATGCGTGGGGCTGAACTGGAAATTGTTAATAGTTTGGCATTGAAAACTGGCAATGTCCTTATAGTTTACCTTAATCCTTCCAGGGAAAGTATTACTCCTCCTTGGACAGCTCCCGCGTGTTTTTAAGCTTCATCTTGAAAAGTTGACCCATGTTTTAGATATAGTTTGCAAAGAGGGTGGGAAAATATGAGACAGGGACTGAGATTGGGTGTCGGCTGCGATGATGGAAGTTGCTCTCAGGGGACAAGGAAGAGGGGGCAGTCCCCAGCCAGCTCCTCTCTCCTGTGTCTGTCCCTGGTACTGTGGACCCTAGGCCTGATGCACCCTGCCCTGACTAACTCCTAACCAACCTTCAAGAACCGAGATAGGTACTGGCTCCTCCAAGAAGCTGGCCTGGACCTGTGTCCATCCACCCTGGCTGGGCCAGCTGTCCCTCTCCTGGGCCCTGGCTCCTCTGTGCTGCCTTGCATGATGCTTCTGTATCACTCCCTCCCCTGCAGTGCTGCAGGACAGTTAAGACCCAGCAGACTAATAGGCAGAGTAGGAGGGATGAGACAGTACTAGCACTGGCATTTCAGAAAACCGTAAACTACATAAATGTATGTGTTAGTGTGTGTGTACATATAGTGCATATATAGTGTGTATATGTGTGTGTAAAACATAAATGTGTGTATGTGTATATGTACCTTCTATTTTATAAGAAAGCAAAGTACTTATCCATGCTTGTGCAATGCACAATAATTGTATGATTGACAAAGTCTTTATTTTTCTAGCACCATGTGAGATAGGTACCAATTTTTATTACGCTTTTTCATACAGGGCTCTCTTGATAGAAATAAAACAGCAATAATTGGACATTCATTTGGTGGAGCAACAGTTATCCAGGTCCTTAGTGAAGACAAGAGATTCAGGTAAGAAAATCGGTGGAGAGAGCTAGAGAACAATAAAGTATTGGAAGAGGGGGAATGGTAAGGGGTATGGGATTTAAATGTTTTATCAAATTCTTAGTGAAGAAAGGATCCTTTAGGGTACATAAGTTTATTCTCTGCCCAAGAAGAAGCTGTCCACTTCTGTTCTTAAAAACTTCCTGGACTCCTATATATTTTCCTCCATTATCCTTATTTATCACCTTCAAGATTTAACATTTTCACTTAGAAATTTATACACCTCTTTTCAGTGGCGTAACAATTGTGGTAACAATATTGCCATCCTACAGCATCCCCAAATTTCTCCAGAAGGCAGGACATTTTTTATTAACCCCACCCCATACTCCATCTCTAAAGTGGAGCTGGATCTAAAATTACACAGATATTTGGGCAGGTGTTCTTTGAACTAGCAGGAACATTTCATCCTTGAAGTATTTCATCTCAGGCTAATGAGATCATATAGAACCCACTAAATAGAAAGTGAGCAGGACTGTTTATGAAACTTCACCTTGAACTTCTTAGAAATCTGTTTCAGCATAAGGCAATTCTCTTCTTTTATCCTTTTACACATCAGGCAGATTGTCCAAAAGGTCAGCAAACAACAAAAACTTACTTGTAGAAAGAAATTTAGTTACATTGCCAAATGGTGTTTTTCTTCAACCCCTAGATAGTTGTTCAGGTGAATCACATTTAACATATAAAGCAGTGGGCCCCCTTGTTACTCTTGAACAAGTGTAAAAGATGCACTATGGCACTCCAAAAGCTCTGATACACAAGGAACCATGCACTTAGCATACTTTTTCAGACACCTCACAGTTTTAGGGAAATGACTGCTTATTCTGACAACAACAGAAAAAAAATGAATAATAAAAATTATTGAGGAAACATCTTTATGATTTGCAATTCTAAACAAGCTGGCAAGAAAATGATTGTATAATTCCAGGCTTGCTACCTTATAAAGATAACAATACCCCTCTCACACTGCAGTCTGATACCTCCCAAACACAGCTAGCTACCCCGTAACAAGCTGGCATGGTGGGAAGTCCTGTACGTGGGCCAGGGCATAACCTGCCAACTCATATCTGCAGGTGTGGCATTGCCCTGGATCCATGGATGTTTCCGTTGGGTGAGGAGGTCCATTCCAAAATCTGTCAGCCCCTCTTTTTTATCAACTCTGAATACTTCCAAAGTGATGATGATATTGCAAAATTGAAAAAATTCTACCAACCTCACAAAGAAAGAAAAATGATTGCAGTCAGGTAAGTATCAGTTACTTATTTCATCATCTGAAACAGCAACTTGAAATTTGGGATAAATATCAGCAGATGTCATTTGATAGCCGCTGTAGAATTGCTAAATTGGTTGTTGAGACTTTCAGGGAGGAGAATATTAGACAATCAGTGTCTATGCATGTTTACACTTATTCCTTTAAAACAGAAATTGCTTTCAGTTACGTTAATGTGTGCAGTGCATGTACTGCTAACTTAAATTTGCATTAGGATATACACTATGCTTATTAGACATCTGAACATGGCTATACGTTTTGGAAAGTGAGATGGGAGGACCAAGTATTCTGTCATCAGGCCAAGCTAGGAACTCTGAGGTCAAATCATCTATTGTGTTTTATTTTTCTTTTTCTAAAATTTATTTGAAGAATAAAAGAAGGAAAACGTATTCACAAACAGACATCCATTTACAAAACAACAGCATAAGAACAATACAAGCAACACAGAGTTGCAGACAAAGTGGTGGGAAATTAACAATTGTTGTTGCATTAAGTACTGTTATCTTCAAAGTGGTTTTTCAGGTAAACAAATAGAGACATGCAAGACTGATCAAATAATTAATCATTAACTGTTCCTTTCAGTAAAGCAATAGAAGTCAGTAGTAATTATGTATGTATATATATTTATAGGATAGGTAACATCTATTGTGTTTACACAATAGGTAAACACAAGTTTGCAGATGTCCCAAGCTCTCATAGGATGTCATCTTTTTTAACACCCTATCCAGGGGTTGCATGGAACCAGAGCATGCACTAGAATGGGACTTTGGGGGAGGTAGGGAAGGGTCTGGGTGGTTCAGGTGAGGCTTTGAGTTAGCTCTTCCCTTTGTGCACGCTGATTCTAAAGCAGAGACAGCACAGCACTCCCAGCCTTCCTTCAAATCCAACCTACTGCTAGGCTCTCCCCTGATGTTCCCTTTTCTCCTTGCTGGAAGCCTTGAAAACGTAGCCTGTGCTCGCTGCTCATGCACCCCTGCTCAACCCTGGCCTTAGGTCCAGCTTCCTGAGCCGGCCACTACTGTGGCTGGTCTTCCCCCTTTCCCCATGGCTCCTGCCCCATGGGCTGCTGCCACCCCCCTCTCCTGTGCCCTGCACCCTTCATTGCACCCAGGCCTAGTCTCCTCATGGGCTTCCCTCAAGCTGCTGCTCTCTACTCCCTCCTGACTCTTTATCTTGATGTTTCTGATGCTCAAGTTGTGCCTGGACTGTAGGGAAGAGGTTGCAGGTGCCAGGTGGCCAAGGTCTGGGTCTCAAATGAGTAAAAGAAAGCAAAGAGAAAGAGCTGCAGGGAGGGGCAGCCAGATGGTTTAACCTTGAGAACTGGGAGGTCTGGGAGAGCACAGAATTCACCTGACGCCAAGCGGAAACACTTCGGAGCAGACGCTCTTGCCCTGAGCTCAGGACCTCCACTTACCACATGCACCTGCCTCCCCCGGGGATAGTCTCAGCCATTAAAAAGCAGGAAATATTTCTTCTAAAACCAAAATGGCAGGACTCTTTGAACTGTTTTCTAAAAGGGAGAGGAATAGGCCCTAAGATTCCTAAATAACAACTTTAACCCCCAAGTACATCTGAGGAGATCAGATTACAAGTTTTGTTTCCCTGATTTTCAGTAAATAGGCCAACCAGGCCAGTATCTTTCCTACACCCTAACTACAACAATAATTGTATTAAATAATGTGCATGTGAATGTCTCTTTTCTCTTCTAGGGGTTCACTCCATCACAATTTTGTCGACTTCACTTTTGCTCCTGGCAACTTAGTTGGACAATGGTTATCACTAAAAGGAAAGATAGACTCAAAGGTGGCTATGGACATCTTCAACAGAGCTTCATTAGCGTTCTTACAGAAATATTTAGGTAAGAAGCAGGTGTTTTCTCCATGATCTGAACTGGATGGTGTGCTGTTTAGTCTCATTTTAACAGTTTGTAGTAGACTTACAATATCTTACCGCTGTGGACATTACAGATCATAGAAAGCACGTCTGTCTGTAACAGTCGAATCTCTCTGTGAAGCTGGGGTGCCGTGCCTGTTGTGGTACTTGGCTCATTTCCCGGTGGTTTCCTGCCTCTGCTAAAGCTGCCCTCCGAATGTAAAATGTTTAAATCTGTAGTGCCACCTAGAGGCCCTGGACTGCTTAACGTTTCACGATTACTTCCATTTCGTCTTTTCCAGGACTTGATAAAAATTTTGACCAGTGGAACTCTCTGATGGAAGGAGATGATGAGAATCTTATTCTGGAAGACAGGTTTGACGTGGTCACCCTAAGCACCACTCTGCAGAGCTCTACGGAAACAGAGAAAGGGAATCTACGTTAAAGGCAGTTTTTAAAAAGGCTCTTTGAAAAGCCATCTCAAAGAGAGAGAGTGCGTGTGTGGAGAGACTTCCATGTGTTTTCTGAAGTCACTCATATTTTAAGACATGGGATGTACTGTAAAACTGACAAAGGCTTGAGTTAAGAAATTTTGCCTTTAAATATAAAGAAAGAGTGAAATATAAAAAAAATCATACCAATTTAGGTTGTAATTTTACTAAGATGATCCTTTTTTTACTGTCAATTAAAAACCGCTTTAACAATATTTTAAAAGTGTGTATTAAATAAGTAAAATGGCAATAAAAATGTCTCAATGGCCTAAAATTCCCTAAACATAACGTTGTGTCTTTCCTCCTAAGTTACGAGCAGTAGAGTTTAGCAACACATTCTAGGTAGAAATGGCTATACTTCTCTTTGACTTTTGGTCATGGTAAGAAAAATTAGATGGAGTTGATAATGAAGCCATAGCTCCGCATGTGTGTGTGTGTGTGTGTGTGTGTGTGTGTGTGTGTGTTTTAAAGAGAATAAATAAAACAATAAAAACAATACAGAATTTCAAAACAAGCTGGTAGGAAATTACCAATGGTTATTACATTGCATATTGTTATCTTCAAAGTACTGCAGACCTGCTGATGGCCATGAAAGGAGGAGTGGGCAAGGGTTAGGAGGGTTGGGGCCAGGACAGGGGCAACAGAATAGAGAAAGTGGGTTCCTTGTTTGCATTTTTAATGTTTTATCTCTGATGCCTTCTATTTACTGAACAAAGGCACCACCAGTGTTGAGAGCTGTGGGCAATGCCTGGGGACTCCGGCCTGTGGAGGATAACAAAGGAAACATTCAGAAGTATAATTTTCTTCATTTTCCCCACTAATTTTGAGTGAATATTTTCAATCTTTAAAATTCTTTTTTTTTTTTTTTTTTTTTTTTTTTTGA